AAGGTGACATTGAAAATGTTTCCGCGACGTGAAAACTATGCCAAGTGTAGAATAGATTGTATTGCAGTTTCTTTATATAGAAAATGTATATTGTATTTGTTTAATACTATATTATACATAGTGATTGTAACAGAAGAATAAATATTTTTACGTTAATTATTTTATATAAATATCATTGACCAGATTACATAAAATAGTTTATTGTTTTTAATCTTAAAATTTAGGATCAAAGTATAAATTGGTTGTACTGTCCTAAACACCTGACTAATTAACTTACATGTTAAATCTATGATTGAAATAATATTTTCATAAACGGTATAATAATTAAGTAAATTTAATGATTTCAAACATTTAAATTAATACCTAAATAACATGGCGGAGTTACAGAAAATTGTAGAATATTATGCCGCGTACGCGTAGTGGCGGCGTACGAGAACCCACTACCCCATATCATATCATCCCGTGGATGCCGTAAGAGGCGACAGAGGGAAACCGAAGCAGGAGCCTATCTCCTGCCGCAGCATCTTCTTGATGAACAACTCAATAGTAAAAAATAGCCAGCCCGTGTACGAAGAAAATAATTGCAATATGATTTCATATTCACCAGGTTTTATACTATATGTATACATGGATGATGAAGAAATAATAAGTTACAGCCATAGTTAGTTATTTGCAGCAATTATGTAGCTGTGTTCTGAAGGTGAACATCAGTACAAAAGTGACCTTCCGAGATAACAACAATAGTAAGCTGGCGATAAAACGAGCGGCACTAAGGCAAACACGTTTACATTAAAATACGTTACAATTCGTTCCTTTTATTGGAATAATATTATATTGTACTGTTAACAGTCTATTTAGAAGATTGCTGGCTGCACTCGTGTACACTTTTTAAACTTTTTCTTTTCATATATATGTACATCGCAAGATATCTAACCATATATGTAAGTCATACTATATTGTGTTACTGCGATCTTGTGTTATATAAATTATATTGTTTATTTTAGCAATTATAAACTAGTGCTTGATTACAATACCACCACGTGGTAAGTGCAAGGTCGTGATGAAGCTCTTTACGGTAAATGACATTGTGTTAACGTAACAAAAGTCTATTCACTCTTGCCTTGAAGTAACATAGTTTGTAATTGAAGGAATGACAGACACCGGAAAATATATTTTACTCCCTTTCTGTACACAAAACGAAAGACAAGGAAATTTGCTCACATTTAGTGATATTTTAGGGGATAAGTGCTCGCCTGAAAAATGCATAGTACGCGAAGAAACTGAGTTCAATCGCGACCCGTTCACCACTTAAATAATTATATGAAAATTTAAGTCGTGATTTATGTATATATTTACCACTTACTCGATGATGAAAAAAAATATTTCGAGGCCATGATGTGTAAAATCCACCAACACGTATTGAGACAACGTGGAAGGTGCATCCCCGCTGTTACTATAATCAATTTTCGTAACTAGTTTAATGGCGTTTACTACACAAAACATGCAAATATTTTACAGATCTCTTTAACATTAACCCGATCAAGTATATTGTGATGACTTTTTATGATCTTAAAAGTTCATTCTCTCCCCAAAATTACGCTGCTCGTTTTTAAAATGCTTTTTGGAGAGAAGCACCTTCATTTATTAAGCGTCGATAAGCAGAATTTGATCGTGGCCGTCAACTGCGACCTCTGAGAAAAATATGGCTATTGTCAGGGGACTAATTGAAGAATACCGGCTCATCACCTATAAGGAGATTTAAGGACATTTTTGGTATGAGCCAAATTCAAAAAAATATCATCATCATTTAAAAATTGAACTCATTCAATTCAACTCATGAACTCGCCCTAGAACAAAAACGGGCCCTAATTGATTGGTGTAAATATTTTTGTTAATGTATGATCAGTGACCACGGACGTTTAACGGACGGACAGGAGATGAAATATGGATATATTGCTACATTCCGGAAAGAAAGCAACTGATCGACATTCTATATGGGTCTTCGAAGACGACAGAAACAAAATTGAGGCAGGCAAGAAGCGTGGGCGCTTTCTCCTAGACGAGTCCTCTCTGCACAATCCTACTTGATGAGCAAAGATAGTTAATGCTGAGTGGTACACTACCATTTGTTCCATCGTCATCCCCGCACCATGCGATTTCTTTATTTTCCCAAAAATCATAAATTTGATGATGAGAGGTTTGACATTTACTGAGCTAGAGGAGGCCGTTATATATTTTAACCAGCACGTGAAAAACCTGCCCTCAGAGCCACAGTCCTCGTGTTTTCAAAAATGGTTTGAACGAATGAAAGTGTTTAAGAAAATTACAAACATATTATAAAATGTTTTATTTAGAGGAGTTACGCAAAACATTCGGTGCACCCCACGTACATACGCTATATTTTCTAAGAAATTACAAAATATACAGTTTACTACAGTTCAAATTAAAATCGGTTATAACGACAATGAAAAGAACAACTAACTAAGGACGATATATCCGATAGTTGTTTTAACTTTCAACGATATGCATTCAAAACACAAGTGAATAGTCTTTACGTAATTTATAACGGTTTCTATTTAAATGTTATTTGCAAATAAAAACAATTTAAGTTTGTTTATATGTGGACTCGGCTGGGACTGGGACCTAACCATGTCGTCGCATTTAACCAATCTGTCGTTCTAGTGATGTCGATATTCGTATATCTGTGTTCATTGTATTTAGTTTTCGCTATCCAAAAATTTACATAACATAAACACTCACGCCTGTCACCCAGAGGGGTAGGCAGAGACTACGGACTTCCATTTGGCGCGATCCTGACACACCTCTCTCGCCTCTTTTACATCCATATATCTACGCATACACGCTCGTCGGTTAAGGGTACTCCTAATCTGGCCCATTTTTAATGTATCGTTTTTTTTATTTATTTGGTCGATAAACCTTCGTCTAGGGCGTCCCTTCTCGACCCTGCCGTTCACTTCCGCAACATAAATTTGCTTTGTCACTCTTTCCTCGTTCATTCTTTCTACATGACCAAACCACCGAAGCATTCCTTTCTTAATCCTTGTCACAACGTCATCTTGCAAACCACACTTTTCTCTTATCACACTATTTCTCACCCTGTCATTCAGATTCAGCCCTAGCATACTCCTTAAGGAACGCATTTCTACAGCATTTATTCTACTCTCATGCTTCTTCTGCCAGACCCAACTTTCACTACCATACATTAAAGTAGGGACTAAGACAGCATTATAAATTGCCATACGTGCCTTAGTTGACACATTCTGACTCCTCATAATAGCGTGTAGAGCCCCATTCACTCTATTTCCTGCGTTCACTCGTCGTTCTATATCCTTATCATATCTACCATCCCTGCTAAATAAACATCCCAAATATACAAACTCATCCACTTGCTCAATCAACTCCCCTTCTATTCTTATTTCACATAAAGTTTTACTTTCTTCTCTTTCAAAAACCATCACTTTAGTCTTACTTGCGTTCACTTTCATACCCCTTTCTTTCAATGACCAATTCATTAAAGTAACCATCATTTGCAACTCGGCCGCCGACGATGCAAATATGACTTGATCATCGGCGTACAAAAGGCATTTGACGGTTGACTCACCCATTCTCAACCCACATTCTTCAACTTTCAAAGTTTGCAAACAACTGTCCATAAATAAGTTAAACAGCCACGGGGAAGCCACACATCCCTGTCTGACACCTTTATGAATGCCAAACCAGTCCGAGTAGACCCCGTTGATCCTGACACAAGCACTAGAGTCCCTATAAAGAGATCTTAATGCCTGTATCAAGCCAGCGCTCAACCCAAATGAGTTCAGTGTTTGCCATAACACATTCCTGTCCACTCTGTCATAAGCCTTTTCCAAGTCCATGAACGCACAAAAAACTTTCTGGTTTTTAGCCAAAAACTTCTCCGCTATCATGCGCATGGAAAAGACTTGATCCGTACACCCCATCCCCTTTCTAAATCCAGCTTGCACATCCCAAATTTTTCCATCAGTTTCTTCCATAACTCTTTCAATTAACACCTTAGCATACAGTTTACCCACAATGCTAAGCAAGCTGATACCACGGTAGTTTTTACAGTCCTGCTGCGACCCCTTTCCCTTATATATTGGGACTATAACGGCTTTGCACCAGTCTTCCGGTACCCGTTTCAGTTCCCAACACAAATTAAACAAGGTGTGCAGCAGGCCTGTAACCACACCCTCACCAGCCCTCAGCATTTCGAGTGATACTCTATCATATCCGGCTGCCTTACCTGCTTTCATGCTTTTCATTGCTTTCATTATTTCATCTACACTTATCTCCCTACATTTATTTAAATATGGAACTGCCAGTCAGTGTGTTTGTTAATAATTGTGCTGTATAATTTTGAAATAAATTATGGAAAACAATTCAAAGTTTCCTCTCTTACAAACAAATAACTTTTAGATTATATTTATTGAGTAATAATAATAAGTTGCTATGTTAATTCACGTCTTTGCTCGTTAGTTAAAACAAAGTGAACGTAATGTTATCAGTGTCAGCACCTAATATTTACGACGAGTTTTTTCCGAAGATCACGATGCTGACATCGGGGTCGGTGTAAACGGTGTCCCACTTACCATCTTTTTGACTCTTAGCATCATAGGATATTCTTTCCGAATATTAGGACATACTTAACTATTACTATAAATAACGAATAAGTAGAAAATGAAATACACAAGAGTAATTTTTGAGTTTACCAAATGTATATGGTTGTCTTTTTATATATTATATCGTCGCCCGATCATTAATTTAATATCCTTTAGTTACTAATCAGGACATTATACCTATTTGTTAATATTTTATAGAAGAACTGAACTCAATTAATTTTAACAGCTTTTATTTATAAATAGAATTATATGGTATGAATAAGAATAACAGAGATTAAGAAGATAGTAGAATATAATTAATATACTTATATTTATAATAAAGAAGAAAGATTGTATATTTACCAAAGCGACAACGGAATCGATGGCTCGGTTGAATCGGTCACAGAGAGCTCGCATGCTCTCGTAAGAGTGGGTGTCATAGTCGCATAGGATGTGTTTCTCCAGTGCCGCTTTTATTTCCGGCAAGTCGTCGCACACCCACCTGCACAGATTAAGCAATTAAAATATACTTTATATATATTACCTACCGTTACATTAGCGTAATCCATGGTAGCTTTAAGGAAACCAAATATCGATTCCCGCCGATACTGCTATGAAAAGTTTGTGTTTAAGAGCTGATTTACCACATGCTCGGCGGTGACGGGATTATACATGGCTTAAAAATATATCTAGAACAAGTTAGGTCCGCCTTGAACTGCCTGCCCAACGGACACTTTTCTGGTTCAGTTCAGCTGCGAGGCGAATGTAGGGTTTACTCTACTATATACATATTTCAAAAATGCATGTGAAGATATTCACCATTAACAGCAATATTAATATGTAGTTACGGAACTCAGTATTATTCAAATCAAAATATATATTAAGGTTGCAATATGAAGATTAATTAGAGCCGTGGTAGCTCAGATGGTTAGCGCTCGCTGTAAGCTTCACAGTACTCGAGCAACCCGGGTTCGATTCCCGCCGGCACCAACGAAATTGTTAATTGCAATTTTAAGTGCTGATTTACCACGTGTTCGGCGGTGAAGGAAAACATCGTGAGGAAACCTGCATGTCTGAGAAATAAAAAAATATTTCGAAGACATGTGAAGTTTGGCAACACGCATTGGGGCAGCAGCGCGGCGGACATTTCATTGCCCTAAAACCCTCTCAGAAATAAGAGGAGGCCTGTGCCCAGCAGTGGGACGTAAATAGGCTGCAACTTTAACTTTTAACTTTATGAAGATTAATTTAGGTAATAATAGTTTCAAGTATTTATTGGAAACAATAAAAATGTTACATATTAATATATGAAAATTCGTACTTCTTCAACCGTTATGTAAGGAAGCGGCAGGTGCCTTAGCACAACGGCTCAGATGTAATATTATAAGCAGCTGTTAAATAATGAAAGTGGCTTGCTCTGAACACTCAAGGTGCATTTGAAGACGAATGGATCGTAGTCGTAGTTATATGCTCGTAACCATTGATGATTCAATCAACGAAACAAATAACATACAATAAAAGAAAGTTATTTTTAGGAAAACCTATTTCATATATATAACATAATATATTAGTAAATAAATAGGGTGTTTTTATAAAAAAATGTTTAACACACCCATAGGTTTAGCTTTATGGCGATGTTTGCACATTTCGTTATGGTTTAGGCGAAAATATATCACAATACTATCTTACTTTAACTTGAATACTGGCAAACAAATTATGCTAAAATCTGTTCCAGTAACCATATTTGATATTTTATTTATAATAACGTCTCCAGAGCGATATTGACATTTTGGTTTTGCCACAGAATAAATAATAGTACAAGAAGTTTTACGAAGAAATAAGTTTAAACTAACTTTATTTTTAATAGTTTGTGTTCTCGGCGTTTAGGTATAATTATATTGCAATATCTTTTTACTTTTTTAATTTTAGTTTTAATACTCGCAAATAAAAAGTGAAAAGAAAACCGTATTAACCGCGTAGTGGTAATAATATATAGGTACTTAAACATTATTGAAAAACTCTAGAAACTCAAGTTTTCAAATTCAATTTTTGAAGGTCAAGTACAAGTTCCTATACGTATACCTACTTTGCTATGTTTTTTTTTTAAATTGGGAGCAGCGATTTTGACTCCTTTTTCGAAAAATTGTCTGACACAAAATTAAGAACAAACATACAAAATAAGGAAAAACATTTTTGGAATGTCCCAAAAAATAGTATATTAATTATGTATTAATAATTGAATTTTGAATTTAGTTTGCGTCTGGGTCAATGTAAACTATAACAATGCCAGATTGTCAGTCATTATCGTAAGATCTGTCTCTGAAAAACTAAAAGGAACTGACATTACTATTACTGAAAAGACAGTTAAATATGTAGCTAATGTAGTGATGTGATATATTTTTAAGACGGAATATGTGATTGTTTTATTAATCTTAGACAAATTAAGCAAGTTTTTGTATTTATATTTATAATTTAATAATTTGAAATTATTTAAAAATGGTAAGAATAAAATTACACATGTTTATAAAATATTATTTACATAATCATGAAATGAGATTAAAAACTTCAACTAAAATTCAACGCTAAAATAAAAAAAAACAGCATTCCTTTTTAAAGGAGAGTTTCAAGGTTACAAAAGAGTGAACGCGTCCGGTCGAGAAGAGGTCGCAATGTCGGCGGCACACAGCCCTTGCCTCGCTACCCCGGCCGCTTGGGATTGGGACTCAAACGGCTCAACTTGCCAAACAAGTTTCATTTCCGACGTGCAAGAACAAGTGATATTTTTTAAGTTCCGTATCATCATGACAAAACATTAAGGATATAAAATGTTTTGTAATTTTATTATCTATGTCTAAAATATTGGATTCGCATTTTAACCTATTCAACATCTGTCCTTTACTAAGATTATAAATTGTAACGACTTTTTTTTTGGAAAATCTGACAGAGAAAGTGTTATATTTATTAATAATAATATTGTTTATAATATATGGATTAGGATAAGGGTTGCCAGACGGCCGGGACCTATAAGGACTGTCCCGGAATACGTGCCCATATCCAGGGTCTCGAGTCCCGGAATGGCCAAAAATGCTCCATATTAATAAAAATCGCATTAAAAATGGAAAACGGTTTAAAAAATCCACGTGTCTCACGTCATTGCGTGGTTGCGAAGGTGGAGGTGGGGGATAGCGAATGGGGGATATTTACTATTATGTATTTCAGAAAACCTTTATATTGATACCGATGATTCTGACCAACTGTACGCCGAATTTCGCTGCTTCAGAACGGTCTTTTGCAGTATTAGAAAAACTGATAAAAGTAATGACATATGTGGGCAGAGATTTTAAGCAAAAAATATTGCCCAAACCTTGAATGGGTGATTTCGTTTATCATGTCATGTAAAGAATTGGACCGTCTATCTATGGTACGTACTAGTAAAGACAGAACGGCAGACAAGAATAAACTTCAATTTGAGTTGTTCTAAATTTATAAAAATCATGGATGGACCTGATGGGTCGAAATTATTTGCAGCTAACAGAAATAGATAATGAGATATATAATCAAGTAGGAATGAAAATAATAATTGTGATAAAAAAGTTTTTTCGTTATCCGTACTTTTGCTTGTCCAGGCATTTACGCTTTCACATCTGGCAAGCCCACTCAGGAGGCTTATGTTCTGGAGCGGACTTGTGAAGGGCTGTAATGATAAAGGTGATAATATATGCATTAACATTAGCAGCCGACTTGCTAATGAATAATGTGGTGCTAGATTCAAATTAAGCGAAATTATTATTTGTGCAAAAGTATTTTTCTCCGATCCCCGTGTTAATCACACAGCAATTAATAATCCCCCGTTTAAATCAACAACTAAAAAGGTGTATTTTTGCTACAGCGAAGTAAAAAATTATGACCGTTCTTGCAGACGAAATAATTTTCGTTCGGTCGTTGCACCACACGTCCTTCGTGTTATACGAGTACGTACGTTGATGCAACTACCTGACAGTAACTAGAGCACAATGTCAATTAAAAACTATTAATACACACTGTCGCATTAGCGTATATTATATTGTATTGATATAGTATATATTATATTGTATTGATTGTGTCAAAATTGATGTACTCGATCATGCCAAAGCTGAATATTCATTTGAGAGTATACTTAGGCGTAATGACGACAGCCATACGTCTTTTATTATAAGTCAAATGAAGAAAACCTCGACTAGATATAATATTACAAGTATTGCTAACATTTGCACGTTGATATAAATGTGCAGATATTTTAAACTAAAGGTGACAAACAGACACACAGTACACATTACGGGAAGCGGACGCTAGTGGGATAAATCCCACGAAAATCTACATATATCCTCGATTAAGCTGATGCGTTGTCATCCTTGATGACTAAAATGAAATCCCGGTCTCGTCACTCACCATACCAAACAAAGCAGCATTATGCTGTTTTTTCACGCAGGTATTCTGTACGAGTGTCATCCGGTCGAGCTGATCAATTCGTGCGGCAGACATAATACGCTGCTGCATGTCTCGACATCCCACCTTTATGGATAAGATAGAATAGATAGGCATCCTACAAACACTAAAAATCAGGGCGGATGTAAGGTTCGTCGGTGATGACGTGATTTATTGATAAAGTACCTGGCTACAACGTCAGAGGTCCTGGATTTGAGTCATAATCAGGGCATACTAGTTTCGCAAAAGCCTTACTAAGTAGGCAAGGAATAGTTCCCTGTGCTTATACGAACTTAGGTAAGCATGGATTAGAAAGTCTTTTATCACACGTAATGAAGTTATTGCGGAAGCTGCACACTTCGCGATTATGCATGGTATGAGTGCTTAACAAGCCACGTTCACTATGTTTCCGCAGCAAGTAGTACATCCACATTACCGATGATCTCTGATGACGCATTCTGTGGGACGTCATAACAGTGCGGACTTTTCTATCCAGAGCGTTAAGCTCGGTTTGAGATAACCTGAGTATGCGAAAGATATACGTGAGAACGTACATGACTCAACTGTTTATGCGCCGGCCTTTTTCACGCCTGACAAAAGGCTGTCAAGTACTTTTGTTAAACAAGACAAAATTATATGGTGAACTGATTTCTTCATGTCCACTTCATTTGATACCTATGTTGTAAGCTGATCTGGGGGCACGGCAATGCCCCCGCCAAGTCGAGCAAAAAAAGCGGCACGGCCGTACCATCCTTTTCTCGAAGCAGTTCAACTATTTTCGAACCCCTATAACTTCGTTGTGGATAAAACTAGAAGCCTAAATTTTCAGTAACCAAGTAGGCATTGTATAAACTCGGTATATTTCAAATTTCATTCAATTTGAACTAGTAGTTTAAGAATTATAATTAGTCAAAGTTTCTTAATTTTGTCACTTACTCACTGGCCGATCATCAACACTCTAAGGTAAAGCAGACATAGTAGCTTCAAATTTGGAATACAATTATTGTTTATTTTAGTATATAAATCAAGGAAAAACTA